AATGGTCTCTGAAATTTTTTTGTCCTGGATGAGTGTTTACAGTCAATTAATAAGGCTTAAATCTAGCCATACCAGTTAAAAATGCACAAACTTACTGGGAAAATCTGCCCTGTCTGATCATAAAGTTGCAGGCCAACATTCTCATAGAAGTCGAACCACGATAAAAACTTCATCTGCATGAGATTAATGAGGCACTGGGGTATTGCGAGGTGAGTTTTGTTTAGTACCATTTCGCACACAGCGACTCTTAATGTCTCATGCCTTAAGACTTGATTGTACTTGTCGGAATCACCAGGATTGCGTTCCTAAAAGGAAAACAAATTGCAAGCTTGTGAAGCACTCAGACTCAGCAGTAAATGCTAACAGGGGATGAAAGAATCAACTCACCTCTTCATACCCTGGCTCATTATGATAGGGCTTCTCACATAGCAAGCTTTGAATGGAGACCAAAACAGAAGTCAAGCTGTGCGCAGGACTCCACTCAGGTCCTGGCCAAGTTCTGTATTATGTCAAACACACCGTAAGAAAAAAACACATGTATTCAAATCCCTAAAAGAACCTCATCGTGAGCGGTACTCACCCTAAAATACTCAAGCAAACCTTCCCACATTTGTATAAATTCGGGTTGAACCGAACTTTGCCCGCTGATGTGGTCATAAACTGAACGTGTGGAGGGCTCATAGGATAGTCATTTGGAAAAGTAACAACAAAGTAAAAAAATCCCTTTTCGTATGGTGTATCGTCTGGTCCAACCAACAAACAATGGACCATCAAGTAGCTCTCTTCATCGTGCGCAACATATATACCCCCAGGTGGATTTTTTGCGCAATCCTTTAGATCTCTAAAAAAAGACATTTAATTAGTCAAGCGTTTAAATGGGATACTGACATATATTTTGTCTAACCTTTTCACGCGTCTAGAACACGTTCCGGAGATAGTTTGACCAGCCATAGTCGGAGAGCTAATGTGAAAAAGGTAATAAGAGCAGATGCAATACGGATTTTCTCAAGCTTTACAATGCAGTGCAGAAAAGAAATATTATAGACTTACGTTTTTGCTGAAGATTACGCTTGGGCTTGGAACGAACCGTTCAGAAGGTTGATAGAGAGAAGTGGTGGAATTGGCGGGGAGGAGACAAAAGAAGATTGAAGTTGGCGAATGGAAGGAGGGCAGGTCTACCACCTCGCTGACTGGAAATGTCTCAAAATTGTTTCCACAATTATTTGTAACTTAAAGTTGTCCATTTTAGGATCCTTCTAGTTCTGTATCATTACTCACGGCTAAGTGTCCTTCAGTATCCATCCATGAGATTAATTCAACGAACTTTCAGTGGAGGCGGTGTGGTGTGCTTGGTTGAAACTGATGTTTTTAAAAATGAATAAATG